TCTGAGGGTCGGAAAATGCCTAGGGACGCGTTACTGCGTGCCCGATTGGACGTGTCGTTGCGAGAGCATCGTCGTCTTAAGTGAACAAATAAAGCCGGTGGCTCTGTGGAAAAGGCAGGCAACCGTCCGCTGGTCTTGGACGAACGCCCGCCGCAGACTCTCGACAATCCCTTTGAGTCGCCGGCAGCAGACAGACCAGTCGACCTCAGATCAGACGAGATTACCCGCTGAATTTAAGCATATAAGTAAGCGGAGGAAAAGAAACCAACAGGGATTCCCCTAGTAACGGCGAGCGAACGGGGAAGAGTCCAGCGCCGAATCCCGCGTTCCTCTGGACGCAGGGAAATGTGGCGTTAGGGAGGTCGGTTTCCACGTTGCGAACTGCGGTGCAAGTCCCCCTGACCGGGGCTCTGGCCCAGAGCGGGTGCAAGGCCCTTAGCTGCCGCGGTCGCTTCGGGATTCGACCTCTCAAGAGTCGGGTTGTTTGGGAGTGCAGCCCTAAGCAGGTGGTAAACTCCACCTAAGACTAAATACGGCCGTGAGACCGATAGCAAACAAGTACCGTGAGGGAAAGTTGAAAAGAACTTTGAAGAGAGAGTTCAAGAGTACGTGATATCAGCAACTTAATACAAAGATACAAGAAACCATCAAACACATTTAGTTAATAATAATTAAAATTGAAGAAAAAATAAAACTTTCAAAGTAAGGGAAATTCTGTGTAAAAAGTCAGGTAAACGATCACGTGACGCCCGTCTCCCCACCTTGTGCAACCAAAGTGGTCAAAGTTTAAATAAAAGTGTAACTCCAGTAGAAGTAAAAACACACATTGATGCATGTCTAAGACAATAAACTTGAATGAGAATGAAGATGAAACATGACACCTTGTGCAACCAAAGTGGTCAAAGTTTAAATAAAAGTGTAACTCCAGTAGAAGTAAAAACACACATTGATGCATGTCTAAGACAATAAACTTGAATGAGAATGAAGATGAAACATGACACCTTGTATTTATGCTAACTGCCTTCTAATATTAAAAAAATTAAAATCTTTAATAAATTATAATCAAATTAAGATTTTTTTTTGACTGAATACAATTAGAAGAAAAATTGAATTAAAGTAAAAATACCAGTTTTTTTATGCAAAATTTTTATTAATTAATTTTTTAAATTTGTGCCGGATTGACCATGGGTGTGCAATTTATATTTGACTGCGCACATGCGTGACGACGGGTTAAAGAAAAATGATTTTTGTCAATTTCGTAGACAGTAATAGATGCTATATGGGCAGTTTGGCATACAGAACCAGCTAGCAACTACTTTTTCAATGCAACATGTAAGAAAACTCAAATTAACCACAAACCTACCAATAAACTAGAAGTAAAACTGACACCTTCTTCTGAAAAAAAAATTTTTTTTTAGTGGTCTGTCCAGATATGAAGCCCTTGGGGATGTATAGTGTTAACCTTCAGAATCACGTTTCTGAGATAACTGAGTTTCAATGTTTTAAAAAATCCTAAAATTGTATGAATAGGTGTGTGTTAATATTTTTGCTTTCCAAACATTGCTTATAGATGTGGCTGTCATCTCATCATTTCAGGATTTTTCATTTTAGGATTTTTTTTCAAACATTCAAACTCAATTACCTCAGAAATGATTCTAAGGGTTAGCACTATATGGCCCTGAAGACTTCATATGTCAAGCCCTATCCCTAATCAACCAGCTGCTCCAATATGAGCCTGGCTGAATCAACTATGGACTTCAGGGAGAAACTTTATCCACATGCTCTCTCCAATGTTTTATTGTGATAGAGATGAAGGAAATGATGTCATACAGGATAAAAGTCAATCAGGTCTCAAAATAAATTTTTGGAATAAAATTATAATGAATAAATTATCAAAAAATCATACTCTTGAGATTATACCATTGACAATATATATCAAATTAATATGATTAGATAAAATACATCTTCATTTTTCCCACAAAAACTTTCCTTATCGCACATAAAAATTGATAAACCCAATCCACTTTGGATATGGAATTATGCTGACCATAATACCTTCCATAATAGATTCAAACACTTCTAAAATTACAAGAGTTGACTGATGCATGTACAGATAACTGATCATCTTAAAAATACTGATAAATGCAATACGAAACGAAATTCTGTAAATTAAAATTCATTTGATGTACAGCCTGCCTCCCAAAATAAAAAAAAAATTGTTAGATCATGCAAATGACTTCTCAAAATGCTTCCATCAACTACTGTGCTTTGTCTTCATGTACAAATTCACACTGAAATGAGTTTACAAATGCTACTCAAATCAGGAAAATCAATTAGAACCCAAAGACAAAGCAGATTAGCTTGAAAACATGTTTGTATAGAATAAAAATTGGTTCTAGAGCTTGTGCATCTGTGCCCATCCAGTAAGTGCAAAAATAATGAATGAGAAGTATGAACTTGCTTGTTTACAGCTTCTACTTTATATTTGTTATATTAAAACTGATTTAAATAGACTTACTAAATTTATTAATTATTTGTAAATATCCAATGTATTAAATATTAACAGTATAAATTCGTTCAAACCACACTAAAACCATTAGACTTTCTAATTGCTTTAGATAACTTTTTCAAGACTTGGTTTATCACTTCTACAAAAGTTATATGATTGTAGATTAATAAAGGTCTCTGTAACAATGTTTCCAACTCCCACTTAATAGCAAATAATTCTATCTTAATATAAAAATGCCAACTGTTTATAACGATATATTCTGTTAGGAAATTTTGACTTATCACTTGGTATAGCAAGTTTCTTTATCAAAGTATGAGAACAGCTGTCGTTCTTGGTTTAATCAGTAAGAGAGTACATCTATGCATGTTTCGCTTCCAATCTGATTGCTCTAATAACCTTCCTTATTCGTTACATGCACAAATTATTGCCATTACGAACATGTCTGAAGCATTTAAAGCCCCAGAATTCTAAAGATTTCCTTTGTGAAACACCAAAAATTTTAGATTTTCAATTTATCTTTAATAATTAACCAATTATTTTTCAAACAAAAAACATACTTTTAATTTATTTACAGTAGAATTTTTTCTTCCTTGTTTTTTTTTAACACAATAAATGTCTGGAAAGTATCCAAATCAGATAATTCTCATTTTCAAAACAGGTTTTTTTAAAAGCAAACTGATAATCACTCCAAAATAACCTACTTAAAGATCATGGACTTGCATACAATTTAGATTTTGAGCTTTATGTTATGGATGCATAATATTTAATCTTAAATGCCTTCCATAAATACATTTTATACCAGTAATCTTGCCAGTTTAATCACTGAAATCCTTCAAAAATTGAGTTATAATTAATAAATGCTTAAATGAAGATCTCTTGATGAGAAGGCTGGCACTGTCGAGCACAATAGAGATTTAATAGCAAGAACTGGAGGAAACGACACAGATTCTAGAAAATTAGACAAATTTGAAGAGATTGATCCTTACAAAGTGACATAATTGAATGAAACACTAATCACTAATGATTTTGCAGGATGGCAACATACTAGGCTGGTCTGCTTGTTGTCAGATGCATCCACTACTGCCTAGTTACTTTTTAAAAGTGGCAAGACATTTCACACTTAGAAAAACTGGAGTTGTCATCTGAGCACTGCACAGTTTTTTACAGAAAAACTGGAACTAAACCGTACAAACAAGAAAATAAAAACTAACAGTTCTGCATCACTTTGAACAGAAAACTGGAGCTATACATGAATGACAACTTCAAGTTTTCTAAATAAAAAAAACAACTCTAAAAATACATACAAGAAAATACTTTTACTAATTGTCATTAAGGACAAGTAAAAAAAATATGTATCTGCTTTGTTAAACTATTATTCAACCAAGCAAGTAATTTAAATTGGCATACAAATGAACAATTTTCCTAATTGTTCTTCTGCAGAAAGAGCACACAATTAGCTCTACAGGCAATATTTCTATTCTAAATTCACATATTTTTTCTTTACAAGCATTTAATACATGGCACCCATAAAAATAACCAGATGCATCAAGGAACGACAACTTTTCATAAAACAGTGCACACCATATAAGGAGATTTTCTTGCTTTCCTCAACAAATTTAAGTAACAAATATTTTATCAAAAAATGGCAGGAAACACAGTAGAAATACAAAAATTGTTCTACAAGATTTCTAGTCAAGGCAAACATTTTTTCCAAGCCTTGGAGTCAGTATACACAACCCCACATTCAGGCACAAAAGCTCTGTATATACATAATAATGGTAAATGATATCATACCGTACAATAGTTCACCTCTACCATGTGATCTTAATGCCACTTTTTAGACTTACTAGACAGGTTATAAGTATGTCTTTAGCTTAAGTATGAGTTTATGTCAAGGTTGAAGTACAAATTTGGTACATTTTTGTTGACTCCAACTCCACCCAAAATTTCTTCTGATTCCAACTCCCCAGCCCAGTTTTTTTTACATTTCAATTGACCCAAATCAAAATTTTGTCATCACAGTCTCTCATGAAAATATTTGTTAAAACAAGCAGATTGCTTTCAAAAGATATTAAAATTTTAACAAAAGAATTTATTATTAGCCACAGCTGTCAAATGAAATTGTAAGAAATGTGCCAAATTTCATAAAACTGAATAAATACTAGACTTTTAAAAACAACAGTACAGAATTCACAATAGTTTTCCCATATAAATCAACTTTACAGATACAAAAAGACGATCCAGCCCTGCCAAATAATTATTTATAGTAAAAAATCAAGCAATTCCTTTAAAATTTATGTTGCTAAAGCATCCATTTTATCAAATTATAACCAACGATTACTTTCAAAATAGGTTATCGAACGTAAAAATGTAATCACAATTTACTTAATGAATAATACAAGACATGCTACATGAATATGCATCAAACTAAAATTTACTATTAGATTCGCAAAACAAAGAAAATCTGTGGCTAGTAACACTCACTGCAACTCATTTAAAATGCATAAATTGATGAATGGTACAAATATAATGCCACTATAAGTGTTTGCATAGAGCCACAAAAGAATAACAAATGTAATTAGATATACGTTATGCAAATCACCAAAGTATATCAAGAATCAGGTCGCTGTTTGATGACAGATTGCAACTGAGAATATCCGAATGACATATGTTACCATAGCTTTCGTAGAAAAACAATAATAGTAACTGCTTTTAATAATATAACTTTGAATTATATAAAATATTTATAATCACCAGCTCAAATTTTTACCCAATTAAGTACGTTTCGAACAAAACTCGGTACGCTCAATTAACCATTTTGCCTAACGTTTAACCAGCAAGACAGCTAATTAAGCATAAATCCTATAACGAAAGCCTTCGTAAACACCACGGATGCATAAACTCCAATTGATTATTATTTACGTAAATCACCGAAAACGTCACATAAAAGACGAAGACTTAACAAACAAGAAGCAACAAAGCGCAGCACTTAACATCCAGAAACAGTTTTTAATGACAAAAATTAAGAATATGCAACGTAACTTTAGTTTCCATCCAACAATATTCATTCGGAAGCATAGACACGGATTAAATCGCAAATAAAACGGCTAATTTTGCACGAAGTATACTACAAAAGAATGCTTAAACATTGCATATTTGCAAACAACAACTGGAAACCAAATATTCATCAGGCAAATTACCAAAAGGCAAATATTTCCAGGCGTTGCAGGAAATCCTGCACAACACAGCACGAAACATATGCAAGTAACATATGTTAACACATTTTCTATACAGAAAGAGGCACATTTATCAATTTTAGTGATCAAACTGTGAATTTTATATCATTTTCACCAAATTTACCATCAAAAGTTTTAGTACTTTTGAGGAAGTGAGAAAAAATACACAAGTTAAACTGTGTTATATTTATTTACTCAAGTATTTAGGTCATTGCATGGATGCAACTGCAACAACTTACCATATTGATCCCCATTATTTACGCATTTGAGCATATTTAACTGCATCTTCTCCACGGAAATTAATTACAATTAGGCACGGAAACTAACAGCAACGTTAATTACCCTCAGAAACGTATTTAACGCCTTAAACGCGTTTTTCTTAATTACAATTAAGGAATTGGCACGAAACAGAGTGAAGTTTACTTTACTGGACCGCTGCACGGGCGAATCACGTGGAAAATCGCGGGTTTTTCGGAAATTCTGGTCTTTATGGAGATGGATTTTCGAACGAACACGTTACTCCTCCGGCACGAATTACGGAATTTCGGCTTACCTGAAAGAGCAGGCCGATAACGAATATCATGGCGATGCACGACACGATGTCCGCATGATTCTGTATGACGAATTCGTGGCTGAAGATCGGTGGATTTTTCGTAGAAGAACGTCTTTTCAGACCCATTTCGTTACGCTTTCTGCTGCCTTCTTGACAAGATGAACGTGGAAGCAGCACCGCACTCGAATGTTCTCGTGACGTCACCGAAATTTCGCTTTTAATTTATATTTTGTTTATCTGATGCATTTATAATTCGTTCCGGGAATTATTATACTTTTAGTTTTTTTTTAAATTTATTTTTGTATTTAAATGTTATTCTAAGCGAGTCATCCGTCGTTGTTTTAGTACCGCAGAGATCGTGTATAAACACCTCCTGGTGTTAATATCTTTAACAACAAATTAGTTTTTAAATTTTCTTTTTTAACTTGAATTTATGAGTTTATGAACATAAATTTACGTATAATTTAATAGAAAAATAATAATTTGATTACTTATTTCAATAGTTTTTGCAAAATATATGTCACAGAATCAATTTCTATACATAAGGGCTTGAGCTTCAAATGAGTAGAGGATGAGAAATAACGACCTGGGGAATTATACATAGTAGATGCGGCAGATCCAGTTCCTCTGCTAGAACTGGAACTATTGGAAATCCTGCACAACACAATGTGAACAGGATCTGGAACTAGATCTGATGGAACTGATCCGGACTCGGATCAGTTCCAACCATCTAAACTATTAAGTTAGACGGTTCCTCGGTATCGTTACGTAACGTTGAAACTCGGAATCTGAGGAAAATATAGACCATCCCAAAAACTGGGCACTTTACCTCTCCCGATTTCATCCCCCTTTTTTAACCCTTAGTTTTATCATCAACAAATTTTTCATACTTATTCTCTTCTCGCGGGTTCTGGGAAAAAATATATATTTTCATGAAATTCGAATACTACGCTTCCCCCGATTGATTTCCTCGACGATTCGCGATAAACACAATAATTTAATTTAAGCTAAAAATAACCAAATTTGTAATATGGTTTTCATTTTAACGTTTAGCCATTTCCTATTTGGACGGGCAATGTCGGCATATCTGTTGGTTACTAATAAAACAAATAATTATCATCTGTGTAAATTTAAAATACTGTACTCTAAACTAATTTGATTATTCCTAAATCCCGTGGAACATTTTCATTAGTTCAAGTTCAAATCTAAATAAAGAATTTACAGTTCCGTGGAAAACCATATTCGTAAAAGTACAGAATGAAGAACGCGTTAGTAGTTGCGAGTCCAGAATAGTCCCCTTGGAACGGTTCCGATCGGAACTACCCAGCTCTAATATATAGTTGCCAATCATCAGTGTTTGGTGCTGGCTAACGGCGTTTTGTATGCTCCGTCAGTGGACGGGCCACCTTTCTTTTGTAAACGATTTGATGTTATCACATAAACACTTCATTTAACGTTTCTAACATCAATGAATTTTATTACGAATGACGTTCTCAAATTCCTTCAATTGGAAAAGAACCGAGATTAATATTTTTATATATGTATGAGAACTTTAGCTCAAATGTAATAATTTTAAACGGCAGATAAGTTGCCAGATTTAAAGATACAATTTTAGTGCCATCATGTTGGAAGTTAATATCAATTTGACATCATCTCTTTGATTTTATAATCAACGAGTTTAAAATGTGATGTGAAATTGACAAAATAAAGATGCCAATTGTCTTTATCCCTTGGATAAGCACTGAAAACATGGTCCAAAATCCAGGAGTGATCAATGGCAAAAATTTGTTATCTACAATGACAAAAATCCACACTGCATTTACATATCACTCATGGGTTGTAAATGAGAACAAAGTTTGCATTGTATGTCTAAACCACCAAGATTTCCTGAATCATTTCAATAATGGCAGTTAATTACAATGATTCAAATTCAATGCGTGTTCAACTCCCAGAAACAGAGTAACTGCAATGTGTAAAAACATTTATTTCTCATTTCTATACAGTAGAACAATCGTGAGCCGAGTAAATAATAAGATTTATATAAAATTGCTTTAATCCGGATCGGTCGATTTTTCTCACGGCTTTAGAAACACCGAGCTAATGACTCGAGACTTTATTGTAGCGTATTAAACAGATTATACATCATATGCATTTTGGGGCTATCGAGTCATAATAGCCAAAAATGCATATGATGTTTAACCCGTTTAAAAATATACTACAATAAAATCTTGAGTCATCTAGCTCGGTGTTTCTAAAGCCGTGAGAAAAATCGACCGATCCGAATTAAAGTGATTTTATACACATCGCATCACCCTTACTACATTGAATAATAAGAGTACACGCTACTTGTGTAACATTCTTTAATACGATAAAACAATTTTCCAAACATACTTCTAATTAAAAATGCAGTTTACAACTAATTAATGTAAAAAAATAAATATCAGAAACATTAACTGTGTTATTACCAAAAACTGAATCTGAGTAAACGAGAACGGTACAATCGTTAACTAAAAGTACGAATCACCTGTATTATACCTGTATATACGAAATCGCAGCTTTCAGTCTTGGTAAGCTCTCAGCTTTTTGGGATCGTACAGAGTACGAATTTTATTATACATGTATTTAAAAAAAAATAAGAGGTTGTCGTATTCGCCCCGGTAGGCTACGTCGGGATGGACTTTGCGATGCAGTTCTACTAGGAAGTAGTAGATGGCTTCGATGGTAGATAAATAGTTGGGAGGTTTGTTTCTCTGATGCCTCCAGAATAATGATCTGTGAGAAGTCAACATGATGCAGGGAAGACCTGAAACAATATATTTAGTACAGTATTAATCATTTCAAAAAACATCAATTTGTATCTTGTTTCTTTATTTACATAATTTTTTCAACAAAGGATAATTTTGCCAGTTTTGCTTTCTAACTGCATTATTTTGTTATTAGTTTATTCAAGTCCAATATTATATATCTTCCAGAGCATAAATGATAATTTCCATTAAACTAGTTATTTAAAAGGTGACAAATGCAAACATGTCCTGAAGTGGATTCAAACATGCAAAAGATAGAAGTTATTGTAAAATCACTTCTTGTAAACTTAAATATATATTAAATTTAAGAAATTTTGTGTTCATGTTAACTGATATAAGCCTTAATATAATTAACTGTTTTAAGTTAATAGAAATGTTTAATATATTTGTACCCAAACTTTTATCTTGGGCCACTCGAAAGCACTGCTATATACAGAGAAAATTATCAGTGTTAAAACTGCTAATCGGGTATTGATTTTTTCTGAACTTGCATATTGAGAACATTGTGAGTAAGCATCCTGAATGAAAGTTTTTGTTTGTCATTCTATTTTAGTATATTTTTATGAGTTTTAAGATTTAAGGGATAATCAGCAGAAATTTTTGTGGAGATTAGAAAATCCTAAGTACTGAAGACATGTTTGGCTTAAAACTTGTCAAAAGCACTTATACAGTATATTTTTGAGTTGATAAGCGTGACTTCATTAACAATTACAAAAAATGATTCCAACAAGCTGTACAACAAAGAAATTAGCAATCACATTTCATCAAACTTGTAATACAAAGAAATAAAAGCAAGAAATTTTTTATTAGAAACTTCCATCTGACACAAATGCAAACTATTGAAAATGTTATCAAGTTAAACTTAGCAACATGTATAAAACTAACTACTCACCATTATTAACTGAATGAGAGAATTGTTTGTAGATAATCTTATAAAATATTAAGTACAGGTTTTACATTAAAAAAAACAAACTAAATTAAAACTATTCTTAAACTCTTCAGAGAAACTTTTGATGTTCCAAATGAGCATTTATGTCACATCAGAACATACTTGTACTTATTTAAAAAAAACATTATTAACTCTTTCTGCCCTATGGCTATAACCAGTAAGAGGATCTTTTTAGCATGCCTATTGTGAGTTGACTAGGCTCACAATGGAATGACTGGGATAGCAAAAGGAATGGGAACAACATATCTGGAGAGAAAACTTCTGGAAATTCCACCCTCCAAAAAACTTTGAGATGTTCGGACCCATCTGGAATCAATCCTAGGTGCTCAGAGCAGCAGGTTGCCATCTTAATTACTATGCCATCTAACTGTGAATTAAAAAAGTAATTATAATTGATATAATATGTTTCTAAAACTAAATTTTTGGTATACTGTAATTTCATTTGAAACAAACTCATTTCACCATTTCATAATAATAGTAGAGTCCTGATTGACTGACCCCAGTTTAACTAAAATTCCATAATATTTGAGGTGAATTATTAAAGAAAACCTTCTCAACAGAGTTAAGAGAATGTAGTACAATACATTTCAATTCAGAAATCTCATCAAAGTCATATCTGGTAATCAATAAGTGGTTTAAACTTACAAATAGAGTATGCACTAATGAATCCAAATCCAGTTTACCTAATAATTTGCATAACATTCGGATTATCTGTGGTACCTTCTGTACACATCACATTGAATAATTGGGACTATACTGTAATGATATTCCTACAAAATATTTGTCTGATAGGAATGAAAATCAATAAGATTCAACTCTTTAACTGCATTTGAATATCATCCCAAGCTGCCTTGTGTCTTGAAATTTTGTTTGAAGAATCTTTTCAAAAATCAGAAAAAAAAAACTGAAGAAAGAAGCAAGTAATTAAACTAAATTATGACTTTTTCTAGTAACCAAAAACAGTTTGAAGCATCACTCCCATTACCTATATTTAAAATATTAAATATAGGTAATGGGATAATGAATAACATAAAAGATGAATTCCTACAACACAACATTTTGTCATTCATTAGTATATTTGTAACAAGTATATATCTTGGCAAGTGTGATTAACGGCAAAGTAAAAATGCTTATACATTAAATAAATACCGTATATTTCCGCAGATAAGATGATAGTTGAATCACGAAAAAAGATCCCCAAAATCTGGGGTCATCTTATAGGACAGATACAAAAAAAATTAAATTGAAATTTATATAAATTAAAACAATTGTAAAAAAATGGACAAACTGTAATTATTTACTAGTAGAGAGTCCACAAAATAGAATAGCCCATACGACATTTTTGTGAATAGTCAAGGTCATTACCCGATACTGTATAGCATATATGGAATTATGTCCTATTCATAATTTTTCCAATGAAAAAATTTTATTTTCTTGCAACAATAGCAAGTGCTGC